GCCGTGCTGTTCCCTGAACCCAAACTGGTGATCTAGAATTATGTTGTTCTCTTCCAATATTGGTTTAAGTCGATTTAAAAAAAAAAATCTCGAATAGCTTCGAGAGTATCGTCAAGAGGCTTATAGGTCTGTAGGAACTTGGTTCTGTTCTGTTGGCTTTTCTGGTTTGGCTATCATACAAATATGGTAGATTTTCCATAACTTAAAAAAGTATTGTATCTTGAAGATAGCATTAAAGAGCATGGTTAGTAGAACTAACGGTTTCCTGGGAAGTTGGTTTAATATTTCGCTGGTTATTAGGTCGAACCCAGGCGCATACTCCCTGCACATACTCTTCAAATTGCTGCGAATTAGATGGGTTAGGCGTAAAAGCTTGACTCGAATGGCGTGCAAATAGCTCATCCTTTTCTTTAGGACTCCGCGTCCAACCACCTCCTTGCAGTCTAAGTGGAGGGTTTGACTGTGTTGGTCTCTTAATATTTTTTGTTATTTTCCACATGTCTCTATTTTGTTATCTATCTCTAGAGATCTATTTTCTTAGTTGAGAGCGAGGTCAGTTTAGTGTGGAAGGCTTCATTTTCATTTTCTTTAATGCATGCCTTTAAGTCTCTGGCAGCCTTATTAAATTTTGTTTTGTCTGCGGTAAGTCTACTTGTTTGCCACTGTCTTCTTACTTTTCTCTTATTTGCTATCATAGTCTTGGTGGCCCTCGAGACGTGGGGTGGATTTCCATGCCGCTGCCCTGGGAGTTTGTTGGTTATGTAGAATGTATTAGTGTTTCTAAAAGCGTGCGAATCCGTTTTATGATTATATAGAGTAAAATGTTTTTCTTTATATATAAGGGTTGCGCTGAATGTCCCTATTATTGGCGTATGATCAGATGTTGTGTCCAAGCAAGACTCTATGGCAAAGTGTGGCAATCCGTTTATTATGAAAAAATCCAGTAAGTCGGGTATCTTATTACTGTCTGCCGACCAGTATGTTGGTTCTCCTTATGGTAATGTTGTTAACTTGAGGTTGCCAACACATTTGTGTAATTCACGTCCGCGTGTATTTGTCAACCTTGATCCCCAACTGACGTGCTTGCTGTTCCAATCTCCACCAATTATATGACGATTTCCTAGGCTACTCAAGTAATGTATGTTTTAATATTATATCGTGGAGGGCAATATACTGCACTTGCATTAATTTATTATTCATTTGTATTAATTAATTATTATTAATTAATGGAGCCGGTTTTGCTCTCTACAGTGACGGTTGTTGCTTGTAAATAAGCCTATTTAAACTCACTATGGAAATGGTGCCTTAAGTTATTCTTTAGTATCACAGCTGATTCTCCATGACTTTTGCCATCTGAATGGTTTGTGTTATACGTTGTGTAATTATCTAGCTTAAAACACTTGTGGCTGTTTAGATGGGTTTTTGAGATAAGGATGATGTCTATCTTATTAGCTTTGAGTATCACTTCTACTCCGTGTTTGTTTGGCAATAAGCCATTGATGTTCCAGGCAGCGACATGTAGTGCAGACATTAGAGTAGTTTTGTAATAAGTGCTGAAATAAGATTTATTAATGTCCCCATTTGTTCTAATTGTTTACTTTTTGAGCTTGTTGTATGATAAGTTCTTCAAGTCTGGATGTCGTCCCTGACTTGCACGAGTTCTGGATTGCAACTTCAGCACTGGTGCCATTTTGTGATGGCTGAGACTTGAAGTCTCTGTTTGGTATCGTCAACGGTGATTACGTTTTCGTGTTGACCTTTTCTTACAATATAACTGTATAAAGTAGGTTTTGGGTTGTGTATAAAAGTTTTAACCGATGGTGGCTTCAAGGGAATGACTCTAGGATTATCTTCAAATTGTGTAGTCTTACGGATTGTTCTGTTTGTTTCGGCGTACATTTGACTGGGCTTATGCATTTTCTTCGCCAGCACTTGTTTGTAAACTTTGTATGCTTTTGTATAATAGCAGCCTTTGTAACTAACCGGGTGATTCCTGATGCATAGAATACCTACAGCTGGTGTATCTTTTTCTTTAGTACATAGAGAAGTCTGGTGTGTTCCAGCATATTTTACACAACGGAAAAGTTTCATACAGTTGTTTGTGGTATGACCATATGTTGACATCTAGTACATTGTACAACAATCGTTTTTCTTTTTGGGTCCTCAATAACTACTTTTTGGTGATTGATGTACTTTTTATCCTTTACAAGCCTGTTGTTTTTATGTGGTAGTATGTTAAGGAAAAATGTATTAAGAGGTTCCTTGGTTCCTGGTTTGCGTGGTGTAACAATTTCTCCTTAACTTTGGTACCTGCTGCCTCTATTGCTTCGATAATTGCCTCTTTAGGCGTGCTAAAATGGAGATGTTTTATTACAATTCTCGGATATCTTTCATTTTTTTGTGGGAATGTATGTGCTATTACACCTTGATCTCTTATATGTTCAATCACAGTTTTGTACGTTTCTGTATTTCAACCCCTATAATATAATATAGATAGACTATATTTATAGTCTAACTTTGTGAACAAGAATATATAAATATTGGTTTCATATAGAGTTTTTTTTTAATTTTCAAATCGTGTTTTCTCAATTCCACAATTTTCGTGTTCAGCACATTTAAAGTACAACTACGTGTATATTTGTATAAGCTGATAAAATATAAACAATGTGTGTCATTAACTTTGTTACCGACCCACATACATTTGTTGATATTTGTACACACTGAATTCGTGAATAAAATGTTTTTAATATTTTGAATTAATATTACGGTAGTCATCATATCCTAGTTTCATATTTCAGGATGTTTATGAATTCTTTTCGTAAGCATTCACGAAAAATTACATTTTTCCCTGTTCCTGTCACTACTGCGTTTTATTTTTAACTAATTAGCTCTTTCATGGATAACCAAAATCATAATAGGTAATTTACCAAAATAATATTTGGCACGATCAGTTCAAGAAAATATTCATAATTATGGAATACTATAAAGAAGTTCGGTTTGGTGCGTTATCAATCACACAGGATTTATATTGAATATTTATATCTTTTTCTATAAATATATGATGAAACTAGGAAAAATGGGAAAAATTATAATTTCTATGTGTTCTATTTAGACTACAGACAAATAGAATTTCAAATGATGAACTTCAATTGTTTTATCTAATAATAGTATGTAACATACATAGTATGTGTAACTATATATTGTAACAACAACTATAAAGTTGTTATTATTACAAATAATCATGTGGTCACAGCAACTACTACAAACAATACTCTTTTAATCGACACGATGTCGATGAAAAGAGTATTGTCACGACGTCACCTTTATAACTAAGGTACAACTTAACTTTTTGAACAAATAAAAGATGATTACACAAAACCGTAACAAAAAGACATAAAATGACAAAAATAGTTTTCTCCAAATCAGAGTATTTCACGAGCACATCTCGCTCTCGTATGTAATTACAGGATAACTATATTCTCTTTTTTCTGTTTTATGTCATTTAATGTGATCTGGTAATAATACGCTTTTTTGCCCCAAATAAAATAAATAATATATATAGGAAATGAAACTATTTTTCCGGATTTATATTATTTAAATAATATATACATATACATAGTGATAAAGTGCTCCTGCTACGCGACAATATTATATCATATTTTTACGCTAATCGTAATTATGTGCAGATTATAGATATAATTATTAAGTCACTTATCACAAAATTGAATTTTGACTCGATTAAGTTCCTGCTGACAGGTTGTTCTATAAAAATTACATTTAGAGATAACGACGACAGTATTTTATCAAGGTAATAATAAAACTGAGACTGATTGCACAATACAGCAAAATAAATAATCTAAGTAATATATTATGTATGAAGGACAAGAAATTGCGATCTTAGAGGTGTTTCAAGTTCTCCTGGTTAGTAATGCGATTAATTAGTCCAATGGGAAATTTTTCCCGTTTTGTAACACCGAGTATGGCCTCTAGATTCATAATAACTCCCTCCGTGGCCGAACGTCTACATGCTGGACTGCCACGCAGAGGTCGCGGGTTCGATTCCGGGGCCGAGATAAATATTTGTACGGCCTATATTTTTTTCTGTCGTGAGTTTGGATATCATTTGTGGTTGTCTATGTTTACGCACCCGGAATATAGGGTTTCCCTAGTGCGAGGCTATGAGCGTATGCGTTATTATTATTGTGCGTTATTATTTATTTATATATCACATAGAGTAATTCTTAATAAAACCGTGTGAAATTCGCGTCGTACTTGTGCTAGGTTTGTAAATTATGGCGCGTCACCATTGACTTACAAATAAATGGACGACGGGTCTAATACGAAAACCACGAAAAAAAAATGTCCCAAGTCAACCTATTTAAACGTAGTGACATGTAAAGGAATATGAAAAAGCTAAAATGTTGAATTTAAATTGTAATGTCATCGCAGTACTGTCTAATTTTGCTTGCTTCGCTGTCAGTCGAACAAACGAAGACTAAAGCGTGAGTGACGCTCTGTATACGATTTTAACGCCCTATAATTTCGGACACTTTTTAGCGCGGACCCGACGTTCATATAATTGTAAGTCAATGCGCGTCGCAGTAAAAACAATTTTAATGCATACTGTATTTTTAAGTTGTTTGTAATAATTTAAGAGTTTTCATTCGTTATATGGGTACGATAAACGAGAAGAAAAAATCCCGTTGTTGATGATGACAGTGGTCACAAGAATGGGATACACAAACTTTTTTTTTTTTACTTATTACTGGCTCTATATTGCATACAAAATTGATAAATAATGGTTTTGTCATTATACATATAATCACAAACTGATTGCGGACGATGATGTCTACCAATTGATATTAACGTCGCGACTGCGCAGTAGTGCGCCAGCATCTTGCTTATTATAAAAATATATATCACAGTTCGTGATTGATAACTCATGGAAACATAAGAAGATTTAAAATATAATTGTGTAGTCCATGTAACAAGAAGTTAGAATGGAGTTTTTCGACTTTCTCCTTCAAGTCGGGCTGGGGACGGGTGTTCTTGTGGCGTATTTGATATTTTTTAAAAGATCGTCGCCAATCAAGTTCAAGGGCAACTACCGCGAGCCAGGTAAGGTCACATAAAAGTTGCTTAATATGAATGTCTGAACAAATATTTCATGATAAGATATTAGTCGTGTTGCCTTGACGCACTAGTGGACTTCCTTAATCTGTATGTACGTTAGTTTATTTATGAATTATTGACACTACAATTTATCTGTTTCTGCGTGAGTGTAAACTAACTATATAAAGCACACAGTTGTTAAGTATCTGGGCGCTATAATAATTTATAATTCTAGTTTAACGTAAAGTATAATTCAAGCTTTCGATTCAAATATTTACTGTGAAATTATAGTAAATAGTTAAAAGTTTATGAAAAAAAAGTTTAAAAGTTAGTTATTTAAGCTATCTAAATGTTTATTAAAGTAAAGTAAGCAATTCTATTATTTACCAGGTTGGAACTATGTATTCCGTCAGCTGCTCGCTAGATTTGCAGTAAAAAGATGGAAGTCGAAGTTAAAAACTAATAACGTAACTGAGCGACCTCGGAGCGACCTAGCGGAGGGTTGGGATGCTATTAACATTAGGAGCTCAGCATCTGACGGCTCTGCAGTTCTGCTGACTGTAAGAAAAGTATACGGCAAACAAAATCTAGCCGAAGTTTCGGTCTATGTAAAACTGTCTGATGGTACGGCGTATAAGTTGCCTCGTAAGTACGTTGTATGCTAAGTTACTGTTTGACAATTCTATTTTATTTCTTTTTATTTTATTTTAAAGGTACACAAACAGAATGTAATCAACACATGGTAACAAATACAGTTTGGAACATTAATAGACCACAGATCACATTCCAAAAATAGTGTACACAGCAAAATAAAATAAAGAGACTTGGAAAATTCTCTAAAAATTATTTTTATGGCAATATGCGACAGGTTGAATATAAAAATAGTATTGTGTATGTATTTACTTTTATTGGGTGCCTGAGGAGTTATGCATTTTATGCAAAACTCCTTTCGTGTCTGATATAAAGTTTCCACAAATTATCAACTCTATAGGTGCTTTTTCACCGGCGGCGAGACGATATGAGGATTGAAATTAAGAGTATAAATGTAGGTTTATTGTATTCTTTTGTTCAGAACATCCAGACACCGCGGTGGATGTGTTTGAATCCATTGACAACGGTTGGAGCGCCGGCGGGTTGAAGATATACGTCTTGGAAGAGAAAAAACGCTTAAGGATCCTGTACAACGGTCTACTCAGAAGAGATACGGATGAAGTTATACAACATTGCAGATTTAGTTTTATGTTAGTTATTTTACATATTCAAGGTTCTCGCAGGGTTGGCAGAGCATACCCCACTACAGTTTTCTGCTTCCACTATTTATACTTCAGAATTATCAAAAGTAAACTTTAGAAGCAACTTTTTAAATTTATTCATCTTTATCTCGTAAATTTATGATTACGTTCATTTTATTTGTCGTCTTGATTGTGTCTTTTACCAAATAGTCCGAATTCTTATTAGACATATTTTGCGGACGAATATCATTGCTTTTTAAATACTCGTAAATTATGCACATTTAATTTGCAGTTGGACATCAGCTACCAGCGTAGTACGGCATCCGGAAGACTGGAGCAACGAATTAGCAGCACAAGCTCTTTCTTTGGAGCCCTGGCGGAATGACAAATGGCCTTACACTCTGTGAGTTCTTACTTGGCTGATACCTGTACATGCCAATAGAGTATACGGTGCATAATACACTTTTATAGGAATAAAAATGAAACGCAGAAACAACATCAATAGCGGAAAAATAGGATGGTATGTTTTAATGTTGGACATAACTGGTTTCAGCCGTGACCATGGAACCTGTAAGGGGCTTGACGCGTTGGTTTGTTGGAAAGAACAAATACCTATACGCGATTTAGATCCCAAAGAATAGTTTCATTTCCAACTATTGATAATGTTTGTTTCAGTGAAAAATGGGGTGGAGGCAACTGGTTGCAATGGGGAACAATTCAAGGTCGCTTCACGTCATGTACGGAAGGCTCTATTGATCAGACGGAATACTTGCGATTGCGTGGTGTCAGAGACCGTAGCTGGTCTCCGCAAGGTTACCGGGGCTTGGTGCGGTCTGTGGTTATTACTGCAATTGCAACAGATGGAACCGGAGTGCAGCTGCGTGGCTTATCTTATAAAGAAGTTTTGACAATGTAAGTAGGTATTCCAAATTTCAAGTTATATAGCAAATGTTTCCAAACTTTTGCTCTGGTTGACAACGTGCCGTTGTTTTCTATTTTGCGTAGACCCCCGCCTTTCTAATTTTTATTTAGCAGCTACCATAGTGCTAGTGAGAAACTTTAAAAAATAACAAATTATGTTAAATTTGTATTGAATTGATATTCAATTATTTTTTGTGAAATTAGTCCACTAGTTTGTTATAATTATTAATACAAAGACCGAACACTCAGACAAATACAAAGACACGACGCAAGCACATAGAAAAATTCGTGAGGTCCGTTGGTTCGTTCCGTGGCTTAGTTGGTATAGCGTCTGGCACGGTATGCAAGAAGACGTCGGTTCGATTCCGACCGGATCGAAGGCATTTTTTCTGAGTGTTCGGTCTTTGTATTAATAATTATAACAAATTATGTTAAGTTTATACTTACATTTATTTAATCGAATACCTTGTTTGTTGTATAATGTGTAAGTTAGTCATAGGTAATTTTAATGTCTATTATAAGAAAATGTTATGTATTTACATTGGTAATTGATATGTGTAATGGTGATTATTCCTTTTATTGAAAGCCAAAATTTTGGTCACAACCTGTTTCAATGGATCTCACTCTTGTGGATCTATATTAACGTATCATGTACCCCTTAATATTTTTCGCTGACATGGGGTTCATGTACAATTATTTAAAAAATGTGTTAATAATGTTTTAAGATATTTTCAATTGTCTTCCAAAGTGTAGTTAGCTATTATTATCTGGACACGACCGTATTTATTATGAGAGCAATACACCTAAGAGGTGCTCGTTATTGAATCTACTGATAATGAGTGGCGTTTTGAATTCTAGTTGTTTCTACGGCAGCGTGAGACTCCCGAACTACAAAGTACAGAGCTTAACAGACACGGATTTAGTGTTGTTAGAGTTCTGTGAGCACTCTGATGGAATTCCCAAAGTTCACACTATAAATGTTAGCAGTAAGTTTTGCCATCCTTTATTTATTTTATTAAATTAGAACGTTTCACACAACAAGCGAATTGCGACATAGTTGCTCTCACTTTGGTGGTTAAGTACATTACAGTCAGTTAGGAAAGGAAGTCGAAGCATTTCACTATTTCATCTAAATAATATATTAACACATAATTCAAGTTGTAACTAAAAAACTCAAATAATTTTGAAGTAAAATCTCTACTAATTGGTACTGTATGACATGGTCCTAAAGCCATATAATTTCAGCACGAATGTTTCCAAACGATACCTTTTTTAATTAACGATTAATGTGTTTCTAGTATTCAAAAAAGAAAAAGCTGATAGAAAGAAAGAAAAAACAAAAAAGCTTAAAATGCAAACATTCCAACTTTATTCACAGATATATGCGGAAATGAATCACCTTAGTTGATCAATTACTGCCACATATTAGACCTTTAGTAAATTTATGATTTTTTGTTTAAAACAATAACATGGTAAAAAGTTCATATGACTGTGTTTTGCGTGGAAAAAAAATGTTTATCCGGAAAATAATTTACAGCACAGTACTCATAGTTTTATTACTTAATACATTACACAATAATGACTTAACACGAGACTTATTAATAAATAATTCTAAGTACTAAGTACTCGTATAAGTATATCGACCGACTTAGTCCAGTCTTACACAAACTTCATAGAAAAAATCAAAATGAAACAAAACAAAGCAGTAACGGCTGAAAATGTAAAAGTTGAAATAGTTTAACACAACCCGATACAAAGATCCGACAAACGAACACAGAAAAATTCGTGAGGTGCGGCTGGTTCGTTCCGTGGCTTACTTGGTGTAGCGTCTGGCACGGTTTGCTAGAAGACGTCGGTTCGAATCCGGCCGGATCGAAGGCATTTTTTCTAAGTGTTTGTGTTAATAATTATAACAAACTAGTGGAGTAATTTCATAAGAAAACATCCTGTCATTCAATAAAACACTTAGTTTAACATTAATTCAATCGAATTTTAAATAAAAAACTTTTTCAACGATAGTTTAACAAAATTGCAAGAACGCAAAATTAACCTCTAACCACTCAATTATTTAGTTGTTTTTGTATTTATAATGTTTAGTATTAGCTGGAAATTATAACAAATTAACGAAGAGAAAATGACTGTCGACTATTTTTTTATTTTCAAATTAGAGCTAAACAAAATAAGTTAAATAATCGACCAGAGTTATGAAAAAAAAAGTGCATTATTTTAGGAATATATTAGAGTTTTACTACAGTTGTAATATATTGATTTGATTTTTTACGGTATATAATTACAGGCAAGAACCGCGACTTTAATATAGTACTGCGTATTAACCAAGACGGCGGTAGACTGTTCAGCGGAGCTCCTTACCAACATGAGGTGGTGTATCGCACTGCGAGCGTCTTAATCAATGGTGTACCTGGTACCGCCATATTAGAACTTGGCTATGAAACCTCTGGTAAGTTATTGTAATAAGAGTCCTTTTCCTTTGTACAGTTCGTTAGTATTTTTGTTGGAATTGGAGTTGTAATAAACATGTCTCAGTTATCATTCGGAGGTGTAATTATATATTATTGGCTTATTATTCTGAATATCTTCATAAAACGGAAGTACAACAATTGTTATAAGCTCTTTAGAAAATCCCGACAATTGAAATAAGGCTGAATAGTGCAGTAAAAGGTATGGTATAACCAGACATGGGCAGTGGGTAAAAACCCAGTGAACCACCCGGGTTTTAGCCGGGTTTTTGCACAAAGTGTTTCGCATTTCTGTCAAAAATCGTAGGCAAAAATGGCAAATACGGAATTAATTTTATAATTCCATACTTATTATTACAAATATCGATGTTAAAAATCTTTTCAGAGAAAAAAAAGAGGCAAGCCCACATAATACCCGATTACGATTAATACGATCTAATGATTCGACTTTTTATGTCGATTTATTTTAATGTCATTTTCATGCGAATCGTTTATTGAATCGATCATTAGACGATTTGGTTTGCCTGAAATCGTCTAGATCAGAAACCAAACATTTTGTAATAATACCATTGACTTACAAAATAATACCCTTAAATTTAAACAAACCATGACTTACAACAAATATTTAGTTGCAAATAGTTTTTGCCCATAATGGGGTTTAACCCGATTTAAGCCCAGCCGGCGTTAATAAAGCGCGTGGATGCTTGCCCATATCCGGGTATGACCTTATAGAAACTAACAGTATGTACACTTTGCTTTTATCAATTCCAGTGAAATCAAGTCCGCCGGTAGACCTCTCACCACAGCGTTTCAAGTGGCTAAGTGAAAAGGATGCAGGTGAGGTGGGGTATTGCGTTCCATTTGAAGCGTGCGCGGCTGCCTGCACCACCTATGTGGGCGGCAAAGGAGCGTCTTTGGTGTTGCTCGCTAGTGTGCAGGAACAACAAGTACGTATTTTGGATATGATTAGGGAATGAAAGTGTATCAAATCCTGTAGTAGGTCTTCAAAATATACAGGACGTCACACGGCTACGGGACATGGTAGAAAAGTACTTGAAATATTGTAAATAGTATGCCGACTAAATTTGAAACGAAAAACTGTATTTTTGAGATGCCGATCGAAAGGATCAAATATTGGAAGGATCGTAAGGATTATTTTAGTATTTTAATCAATAGAACACTGTGAAATTTTTTACTGTAATGTGCCAGACAACCACATCAATTCCCAGGTCTCATACTGAGGAATTACCTGTCATGTACTATGAGTCCCAGAGCAACGGAGTTCATTCTGGGGCACTTCCCAGAACACACAGACCAATTTGGAAAAATTCGTTTCCCAAATTGGTCCTACCGGGAATCGAATCCGGGACCTCCTCATCCAGCGCTCACAGTGCAAACCATAGATCTAGTATGTACTGCTAGTGCAAACCGTTCAACCACCGAGGCTGTGACAAATGTTTCAAGTTACAAATTTTCCATTTACATTTAGGAGAATGGATTATAATTGTTCTATTGTCGATATCATACTTCTTAAAGTATCGGCATTATTATTTCATCAATAGCTTTGATTATTTACTAATAAGTATCAATTTAAGGAACTATTTCCTTGTACTGTTTATTGTAAGTGTAAGATAAAAATGATAATTATTTAGTATTTAATTTAGTACTTAAATGCATCTATCTCAGAAATTTAAAATCGTTGATACAGTGGCAGTTCCAAGTTGATTTCTTTTTTGAATAAATTGATAATAGTACATTTTTCCTACAAGCTCACCTAGACCTTAAGTAGACCTTAAGAGGATGGAAAAAAATCCAATAGACTAAGTTGTAGACGCTTGTTTTGTCATCATCAGTTTTTTTTACTAGTAATTGTTGAGAAAAAAAGGCTATAATTGAGATTTGAAAGGCCCGCTCAGGAAATTGTCATCTGTTTGACGTACGTCCTGAATAAAAACCGATTAGTGTCAAGTTTTTTACTTTAATGGCCTTGGGTGCGTGCGTTTAGAGATTTTTTACTCATTATTCCAAGTTGTTGTTAATTATTTTTTAAATATAAAGATATCTGTCGTATCTACTTTTCCATACACAAACACAAAAACACACAAATTGAAATAAGTTTAGTACACGGTTTTTCCGTCACTAGTCGTGACGCCAGGCCAACGACTGGCGCTGTTTTTTCGAAATGAGCTGATTTAAATGATTGAATTTATAAAATACAACATTATACATAAAAAATAAGAGGTAATTCAGTCATAAAAAATATATGTGGAAAAAGTTACCATTGTCAATTGTATAATTAAACGGTGTTTTTTTAAATTAAGATACTACATTACTTATAAGAAATTAATCCTTATAATATATTTTTTCGATCGGCGTCATAAAAATCCTGTAATTGTAATTTTCACATTTGCTCGGATGGATTCCCAGATGAGACAGTTAATTTTTAAGTCTTTGATTGTAGTATTTGTCTCCATGATGCAAAATATCCCATCTACAATCTGTAAAATAGTCAATGTGCAATAGCATTGGGTCGCCTTGAATAGTGTACTTATTTATTAACCTACAGGGAATTTCTAAAAGCGAAAGTACAGGCGGATTGATCACACCGCCACGTAAGGACGCGATTATTTTGAATGTAATAGTACACCATTAAAAACTCTTTAATTATTGATGTTATTCGGAAATATTCAATGTTTTATTCACTGTATTTCAGGACTATAGAGTTCCTCCAGGTTTTTGTGTAACTACAAAAGCTCTGGAGAAACACCTACAAGCGAACCCTGGCATAAGATCTGCCATTGACGCCATTGCAGCTGCTAATGAAGATTACGAAGAAAATAATTTCCGAGATAAATGTAACACGTACGTATGGAGTATTTTTGTCTTAAATCTGTGTAAGATGTGTATATATGTGTATGTATGTATATACATCCATATATATATATATATATATGTATGTGTGTGTGTGTGTGTGTATGTATATGTATATACTCATTTACTTAGTCCTTAGTCCACACGCAAAAAAGCCGCTTTGTCGTCGAGTTGCGGACACCAACCCATTGTATCAAGTAGTCCTTGGATTCTCATTGAGTCTGTCGATCGCCACTTGGTACTCTCCTGACAAACTTCATTTGCATCATTTAAATTCAATCATATCAATCTTTCCGTTGTATGGAAAGATTGATATGCTCTCTTAGGCCTATGGCATTAAAGGGAAGACACATTCTTCGACTTTCCTAATGTTAGCTGCATTGATGCCGCGGTTTCCTTAGACATGTCGAAGCATACAATCCCGACAACGTCTCGCGCCTAGCCTCTATTCAGATCAGTTGTAACGTTGCAAGCTGGTTTTATTACCGGTCGTATATTAAAAAATGGTAGCCTTCCTCAAGAAGAAAAAGAGAGCTATGTTCCAAGAAGGACAAGTTTTTGGGCGAATAACCTTCGGAAGCTTGCTGAAGCATCCCGAAGGCTGCCGAAGCAATCCGGAGTCTGCCGGCTAGCTTATCACAGCTTTGTTGTTGTAGCTACGATTATTACAGTTGAAATTAAAAGGAAACTAGTAATTAAGATTAAATAATTATCTCTTACGTAACATCTTCCTAAAGGAGAATGAATGCAATTTCACCCGTTATAGCAACTTATGTTTACAGGGCAGTAGACTTATTCGTCAACACCGATGTCTTAGATGAAGTGAAAAGTGAAATTGTTATCCACCTCAATGAGCTTCGTAAGAAGGTTATCGAGCAAGATTTCGGCCCCGAATTACGTTTTGCTGTCCGATCATCTGGTAAGTGACATATTGAAAATGATTTTGTCACTACTTTTTCTTAAAGTTACTGAACAGATCTAAAATATTTTTGCTGTTTTGGAACTAGACCCCGAATTAAAAGGGATGTCAATATTTTTAAATTCGTCATTTAGAATCTCAGGATACCATTGTGTTATATTGTGTCAGGTGGACACACAAAGGCCGGGCCGTTGTAGCTACACGAAAGCGTTCAAGCAAAAAAAAATGCATTAAATTTCGACCTTGTATACATGTAAATTATTGACAATTTAATACTACTACTAGTGTAAATTCAAGGTATATAAATTATGTAGCTAAAGCTACAGAGGTTGCCGAGGATGCCTCTACACTCAATAAACACTGAGTTAAAACCTTAACAGTGTTAGGATTACAAATTATATATAGTGTACTAGTAAAACATTTGACAAATTAACAGAGCCTATTTTATTTCATTCATTATTCTAGCTGTCGGAGAAGACAGTGAAGCGCTATCGGCTGCTGGGCAAAACGAGACTATACTGGGTTGTGTTACCGACGATGACGTGGTCAAAGGCGTGCAGAAGTGCTGGGCATCCATGTTTGCTTTCACTAGCGCTCATTACCGCAGGTTTGACATAGCTCTAGTCTAATGTTCATCGTAAGACTCTCAATAATAAAGTGACGAAATGAAAAACCGTATGAAATAAAATAATGTCTGATTTTTCATATATAATACAATTTTGTCTAGTTTGGCAGCAGTCAAATGGTTTTAGTTTTTTTACATATTTTTTTTATCATTTATTTATGCATTTATCTAATGAGAAGAATTACAACATATTAAAGCCAATTACAGATCCTCACAAATACGTAGAAATATAATAAGGAGCCTTAGCGCACAATTTAACTAACCTGTCACATAAAAACATCTATAATTAGTAACCCTCATTATGAGTCAAATAATGTCCACTCAGTGCTCTCTTTGCTAAAATCATAGTATTGAAATGATCCGGATGTGAATATTAGTATCACATAGAATGTTAAAATTATTGCTTGGAATGCATTTTGTCAGTGTTCTTAAAATTGCTTTTCCAATTTCGACATTTAATTGAAGATATAATATTTATGCCAATGAAAATATAAGCGAGTACGTGTGGATGCATTAATACCATATTAATACCACGTTGACAATGCATTGAAAAGCACATAACGTTCACTTTACTGTAAATTTTACGCTTATTATTTATAAGTTGTAATGCTTTGTGAAATTGCAGTATATAATATAAATTTATTTTAAAATAAATAAATTACATTTAAGTGTACACTGGCTAAGGCAGAAAGATACAGGCTTATTGAATCGTCTTTGTAGTTGCAATACCAAACTCGTACATATTTGTTTCTTTCTAATGTATTTGTAGTGGCTAATTACTTAACTAACAAATGTATAAAGAATGAACTGTTTATTTTGCAACTTACTTTATTTAATTGTAGACAAAACGGACAGCCATGTTTTTGTGGCGGCGGTGTAGTAATACAGACGCTAGCACCAGCACGCGCAGCTGGCGTCATGTTCACTAGGCATCCAGATGTTGGCGACCCCACGCGGTTGCTTATCACTGCTAACTATGGTCTTGGAGAGGTATGTGAACAGTTAAGAAATTTATCTTTCGCCATTTTGCGGAAATTTAAAGATTAATTCTACCTCTAATAAGGCAATATTGATGACAAAGGCTACTTCTAGCGCCTCTACATTAAGGACTAAAATTTTTTAATGCATAACATTAAAACAATATACAACAGAAATACAGCATTGCAACATAAATCAGACACATAGAAGAATTTTGTCGACTTGTTGGCTTGACCTGTAGCTCAGTTGGCAGAGCGATACTACGGTACAGCGTGGTCGCAGGTTCAAGTCCTATCAGATCAAAGGAGTTTTTCTTTGTGTTCAATCTTTGTATTAATATGTATAACATAAAACTATACAATTCCTTTAAATATAATGCAATATTTTCTATATTAGAATGTTCCGCTATTTTAAAATGCTGTCTTAGTTTATGTGTAGTATTGGTGAGTTTTATTTCTCATAGTATTTTTATTAAACACAACGAGATTAATCTGGTTGCTGTAAGATAACCCAAATGTTTAAATTTTCGTCTGTCACAATTCCAGACAGTGGTATCTGGATCAGTGGAACCTGACACAATTGTAGTAACACGTGGCACCGATGACGAGCTGGTAATATCGAAGATCACACTAGGATCTAAACTCAGTCGCGTGACGGCATCAGGGGATGGTGTGTCAAATGAACAAGTGCCAGAAAACGAAAGGAAAGTCCCATGTGTGTCTGTGTCGGATATACTAAGGCTCGCCAGCATCGGCGTAACGCAGGACAAAATGTGGGGCGCGGGACGAGATATTGAATGGGCGGTCGTGAAGGTAACGCCTTTTAATCTCAAGTTGCGTCAATTTTTACTGTGACGCATTGACGCTCTTAATGAAATTTTGTATGTTTTTCTTAATGTTAACGAATTGCACTGAATTTGTATTAATCTTAATTTATACTTACGCCTATTAACATCATTAAGGTACTGAGCATAGTATTATGGTCTTCGGTTTATGTCAGTTATAATGACATCTACAGATTATAAAATGTGTGTTAAAGGATGAAATTTTTTTACTGCAAGCGCGGCCGATTACGTCTTTAGAGCGTTGGAGCGAGGAAGAGCTTCTACACGAGTTGGACACTCCCATAATGGCTGATGATGAACTTACCACTTTTGCTAACACGGGCGAGGTAAATATCGATTCCATTAATAGAATCTGTTCTTAATATTTTTCTGACAATACTGGGTTCATAACATTAGACACTAATACTATGGGCCGTCTCGAATGGAAACATACAACAAAATTAATGGATATATCATCATAATCACCAACCCATTTATGCGTCCCACTGCTGGGTACGGGTCTCCTCTCAAGCGAGGGTGGAGGTCATCGTCCACCAATGCAGGTTGGGGACTTCACACGTTTTTCGAGTGTTGTGAACTTCGGCGACGTACAGGTTTAATCACGATGTTTTCCTTCGCGGAAAAGTTCATGGTAAATTTCAAATTAAATTTCGCACATAAATTCCGAGAAACTCAACAGCTGCGAGTCCGGTTTCAAACCCACGACCCCTGCTTGAGAGGCTGTAGGTCGAACAACGCTACCACGGCTTTATATATTTATTATATTAGAAGAAAGTTATCAATAAACCCAAACAAAATTAATGATAATTGGAAGCCAAAATTAAATCTTCTGTCTCATCTTTTCTCACTGAAATCGAAAGAGGCGACACTTTGACTTGGATCGACTCCAGTTAATTTGTAAAAAACAAGTGCTGTTTCTGTGACATTATCTGGTAACGTTTTCAGGTGTTGCCTAAACCTTTATCTTCGCTAACTTACGACTTGGTGACGAACCCATTGTCCCGAGGCATTTATGACTTAGTATATGGCGTGAACGGCGACCACTACGATGATCCTATCTCGGTCACACATAACAGATTATCGCTGGCTTTGTACAATGTAAGTTTGTAATTAAGAATAATAATAAAAATTAAAAAAATATGTGTTTCTAAGTTCCATGTGTGCCTCAAACGCCACTACTATCCGCTATCCAGGATATACTAATCTCGGGTAAAATGACGCGTTTTATGCACTTGTTGTACAATCTACTATATATAATAATGCACGTAATAATAATAATGAGCCCCTGATATGAGTGAAGCACGGACTCGAGTACAACAATACTTACATACACATAACATGTGTAACGTACATATACATATACATATATGTAACGTATGTGATGTGTGTGTGAAAGTTGGTGTGTGCTAACATATTTACACTAAATAAATAAATTACTATACCAGGTCAAATTAAAAGTAACACGATAGCATGTTATTGTGATTTTCCTATTGTCTATCAAAGCTGCTGTATTTGAACATTCCCATGTTCTTAGTTCACAGTTCTCATTTGTCTACGACTGCTTGTAACCCTTTATATCCTACCAAATATACATTCTTGTGTGGACGGTTTTGAGCATTTTTATACAATTAGTACCTACCTACATTCAGTAACAACAATGAGTCTAAAGAAAGGTTGTGAAGTAGAATAACTATAATATAAAAGAAACAAACTATAGTTTTCTGGATTATTATCTCTAGTCGCCTGCTTCGACACAAGATACAGGGCAGTCCCTATTTTTAATCGGAACCACACTGCAACGGAACATGTCAATAACTTTTGACCCGTTCTTGTTGAACTCACATATACGTATATATACTAACTGCACTGAACTTTATACCGTTTCAACCTGAATGGAAAACATGTTCAAAATTTCTGTTCGTTATTATATTGTTTATCGTCTATTACAGAGCGTTTACAGAATGGTGTCGACAGAAAAACCAGACTTAACGCTTCGTATGCTTGAGATGGCAATACACGGACACAAAGTAGCCGATGACAATATAGTGGCTACAGCTCGGCACAGACATGCGCCTACGCGCTGGGAAACATTCATGCGTACTTTTTACAGTTTCAAGGTTTGTATGGATTTAGTTTCTACCGTTTATATTAATTTGTCCCTATCTACCGACCCGATGGACAGGGATTTCTGGGGGACTACGGGCTCCCCGGTAAGATATAGTGATACGACTTCACGGACATTTCAGACTCTGGGCCTGTGTGTATGTACTTTCACTGTCACAACAGGTTGCGACAACCTTGTTCACGGGCTGATCTGGGCTCAGATATATGGTATATTTCGCAAGCAATAAATTTGCCTCCGTTAAACCCTTAACCAAGGCCTGTACTTCAAACACTTTAATTTTACGTTAAATAATAATAATAATAAATAAATATTAGACAACATCGCGTTCGTTAAATCACTTGTGTTATGGAAATCGGAACCAACGACGGTACCACAAATGGCCTGACTCGAGACAATATAGAAAAGTTAGTTTTCTACACTGACCCGGCCGGGGATCAAACTCCGGACCTCCGAGATGGTGACATTATGAAAACCGGTGTGCAGAAAAAATAGTTTTCTATCATGGAAGTAAATTTATTTGGTCTGACACACTGACATGACCATACCCAGTGACCTTTATATCATGCAAGAATATGTCAAATGTCTGTATACCATAAATTAATTATATCTTTTGAGCATTATATCGACTAAAAATATGTCATTTGTTGTTATATATTACGAATCGCATCCGTTTTATTAACAGTCGACGAAGATAGTCACCCAAAGTCATTTTATGACAAAGTCAAAATCTTAAAATTTTGAAGTAGGTCACTATAATTCTAAAGGTGCGATGTGTAGATTAGATTTTTTTTACATAACATCAAGTGACGGGACGAACAAGCAAGACTTGTTCGCCTAATGGTAAGCTACATGCCTGTCCATTTAACAGTTACAGTGCCACTCAGAGCTTTAAATTGCAAAGATCTGAGGGGCGCTACCACTGCGCCCGTCACCCTGAGACATAAGTTGACAAGTCCCATGTGCCTGCAATTTCACCAGCACCCTTACCCTTCAAAACCGGAACACATTGGCGGCAGAAATAGGTAAGGTGGCAGTACTACCCTGGACGAACTCTTACACAGTAGGAGTTCTACTGCTACTAAACTATGGGCCTGACCTGCTATGAACCGGTGTGATGATTTCTCTTCGTGCCCGTAAACCACAGTGAAATTACAGGCCTATAGGACTTGTCAACTTATGTCTCAGGGTGACAGGTGTGTCGCTTAACAACAGGCGCACGACTTCCGTCTCGTCACTTGGTATCATAATTTTGTTTGTGGATCACCTATCAGCATTCACTATCTTGTTCGAAAGATTGAAATGACGTACAATATTGAAACTTGCATTTTTGCACAGGATCTCCTGAGAAGTAAGACAGCCATGAACGATCAGATAAAAGTTGTAAAGAGATACAACCTTCATTTTGAGACGGACCATCCCATAGAGATTTTGGAAACTATAATTAGTTATGAACAAACGTTCTTAAGGTGTTCGGCTAACCATGCAATCACGTCATCTGCAAGTGCTACTGCTCAGATGTTGACTATGCTGGTGTTTGTTGAAGGCAGCTCAGGTAAGATATCCGTATGTAGTGAATAGTTCAATTAGTCTTTACTTTACTTAGTAGTTTTATTAGTCTTTTCTTTACTTTACTATTTCTACGAGCAGTTAGTAGCAGTTAAGATGTTTCTTTCAGATTTTACACCGGAGCAGTGCAACGAAGTGAACGTCCTTTTAAGTTCAGGCGGCGTACTGTCTGCCGAAGTGCCTCAAGCTCTCGCCAACTTGACACGGGAACTGGAAAAATCTGGCCAAGCGGAGGAGTTCCGAAAACAAAGTCCTAAAGTAGCCCTGAATTGGCTAAAAAACCATATACCAAACGTGTATACATTAGTTACTAAATTTTTGGATGAACATGGCCACAGAGCTATTATGGAGGTACAAGGATCATACGAAACTTATGATTTTTATTGTTATACCGAGTTTAATGTTAGTTACAATAAAGATTATTCGTGTCCTTTGAAGGTTAACTTTTAACATAATATGTTAAATGCTGTATATTATACAAAAAAAAACTCAAAAAAAATTTGCTTGCTTTGTATTTTATTGTATTGGCTGCTGCACTACTACTAAACATTGACAACAATCTATTAGACAACGCGTAAAGAAGTCACAAATTTCTGAGGTCGACCGTTTCATTTTCTTTATCATTGTTACAGTTTGATCTTGCTACAAAACCATGGGTGTTGGCACCAGAAAGGATGATGGAGGTATTGCAGAATATGTCGAACCAAGAAATCCAAGTCACAAAAAGCAACGCTGATATCGTTACGTCTGTGAAGACTCCAAAGAAAGTCAGTACTAGGTACTGCCGAATAAGACTTGCTTTTATTGTTGTTCATTTGAATATAATAGGCTAATGGTAATGAGATTACAAGTGTAGTTCTTAGAAATTTGCTCGCAGTCTTGCAAAATGACTTAAATTGTCAAGGGTATTTAGGGCAATGCGCAGGAGTGTACGTGCACTACGAAATTAATAAGCGTAATAAAGTGCGTTTCTATTTTAGTTTTATTAGAAAGAAGGTAAACTTGTAAGTATATTTAAAAGTTTTTAAACCAAAGCTGTCATAGAACTGTGTATCTATTCCAGAAAAATGTTAAGCTGGCTAATTCCGCTATGCCGTCGTACGGTACGCCACAGAGAAACCACGAAAGCTTATTTAATCCTTGCGGTGCATAAAATGCGAGTAGCGATTCGTCACCTGGGAAGAGTATTGGTGAAGGAATGGTACTTGCCTGACGAAGATCTGATCTTCTATTTCCGATTAGCGGAACTCCGGGACTTCATTATGACCAGGGATCCTGCTTTGTTGAGGAAGTAAGAAAAACAATTTTTCCATTGTTTAATATATTGATTAGAGACCATAATACCTAAGTCCACGCACCTTATTAACTAACTGCCCTTAGTAAGGGGACCAGCTACATACAAGCTAGCAAACTTAATGAGGTCGACTATTTTCATTAAAAAAAAATGGCCTGAGATAAGAATGGAATGTTCCGGACGTTCTAGTCAACCCAAGGATGTATTTGACAGAAAACCGACAAACATATTGGTAGGTCAATACAAACACATTGACCTACCAAAAACAAGCTACTTTGCGGTGATCAAGATTTTGAATCTTCGATAAGAGACAAGATTCGATCAGAGAGTCGTCGCCATCCAAGCGACTGGCTTGTGTTTGTATGTAACGTTGTTTTAACGTTATAAGGAATGGGCTTTTTCAAGGCGAGAGTAAATGGGCATTAATTAGGTGTGCATGCTTTATCGCTGACCTCGTCACTTTGATGATTGAGATGGAGGTCAAATAAGCATAACGTACCCAAGCCTGAAAAGGATGCCTAGTTTATTGAAACTGTTTTTTCTTTCACGTAGGGCTATTCAGCGTCGTCAGTTTTATCCGTCATGGTGCAGGCTCAAGTTCGCGGAACTGTACAAGGGCTGGGTGCAGCCTCTACAGAGCGAAGGGCTTTCAGTAATACCAGGAGATGTTAGATTAGAAGCCACGACAGTTTGCGGAGGCGATGTTATTGGTAGAGCTTGTGTTGTTACTGACCTGTCCGAGGTAGGTTAAAAATCCAATGAAAAGTGCAATTACACATTTTAACATAATACACTTTATAATTCTGTTCCATTTCGTATAGATTGGCGAGTTGCAATGTGGTGACGTGCTGATAACGCACTCTACCGACATAGGGTGGTCTCCCTACTTCCCTCTACTGACCGGCATTGTTACAGAACTAGGCGGTCTTATTTCACATGGTATGTTGTAAACGTCACAAGCACTTTTTTATGATACCTAGTGACGGGACGAACAGGTTGTGGCGTGGTGGGAAGCGACATAACTGTCCATAACAATTGCAGCGCCATTCAGAGCTTTAAAACGCAAGTATCTGAGGGGTAATGCATCCGTTACCTACAATTTCCCCAGCACCCTTACCCTTCAAAACTGGAACGCAGTAATAAGAAATAGGTATCGTGGCAGTACTTCCCTGGACGAACTCTTTCACAAGAAACTCTGCTGCTGCTGAAATCAACATAGATCTTAGTTTTAAAAATCGAATATACCTTGAAACCTCTGTAAAATTTACCAGGGGCAGTGATAGCACGAGAGTACGGATTGCCATGCATCGTTGGAGCAGAGGGCGCCACAGAAATGTTTCGTACCGGTGACATGGTGCGACTCTCCGGCGCCAAAGGATTTATTGAGAAAGTACAATTAGATAAACAAGCTGAACCGTGATCAAAATTGAAGTATTGTTGGTGGTGGTAATAATATTTTAACAATTGTAAAAATAAATATTTATTTCAAAACCATTGTGTATAATTAAAAAATATTCAGTACAAAATCAATAAAATAACATGACTAAAATTTCAGAAATAACGTTACGGAAATAACGTTATCGAAAAACGCAGGACAGTATCAATAAAAATTCATAAAGGCATACGAAAACTTAAAAGACTTCAACGCAAACTTTAAACATTTTTACAAGACTTTAAAGAGTACTAAAACGTAGAATATTTTATCAAATTAAACTTTAACCCAATTTGACAAATCCTTTTCGCGACTCCACGCAGCGCTGCGCCCAGTGGACCGAAATTTTAAATCAATAAAATAACATGACTAAATATTTCGGAAATAGCGTTACCGAGCCGGTATATCGAAAACAAGTATCAATAAAAATACAAAAAGTTATTCGAGAACTTGAAAGACTTCAACGCAAAGTTTAGACATTTTAAGACTTTAAAGAGTACTATAACGTAGAATATTTCATTTAACGCAATTCGACAAATCCTTTTAGCGACTCCATGCAGCGCTAAACCTAGTGGACCGAAATTTTTCTACACAAATTCACGGGGAACTCACTGATAATTTCTTTCAAGAAAGAACCTTTATTTAATCTCAAATAGGCGAAGTCCACTCATATTGTCGGTCGCACGCCGTGTTTTGGACAGACGGTGACAGCACGAGTAACTCGTAGCAGTTGAAGGCGAAGGGACGGCCGACGATGACCACGTGGCAGCGCTGCTTGGGTGCAGTGACGGGGCCCAGGAGGTGATTGCCGCGGTATAGTACACGGCCCACGTGCACGCCGTCCGCCACGCACACTGCGCGCGCACCCTCCGAATCGCTGGTGTAGCCGGTGGAGCTCGCGGTGCTGGCGCATTGCCGGCTGCCGGACGCGCGCCACGCCACCCATTGCACTTCCGCGTTGCACATGACCTGCACACATTTCACCCCATGGTTTATGTAAAAAAAGTTAGAAGTTCACGTGCAAGTGTGTTGCCAGATGGTTAAACAAATAATTGTAATTTTTTTATAAAAAAATTAACCGACCTCAAAAGTTCGTGGAATTACATCTATTTGCCAAGTTTTATTGAAATCGGTTACCGGAAAGCGCGAGAAACCGGTTTCAAATTATATGTAACCGGATAGTGGTGGAATATTTTTTCAAATTTAAATGGGACCAAAACTGCGGAGCCCTCTTTTCAACCAAAAAAAGAATTATCAAAATCGATTTACAAATGCCTGCAAAAAAATACAGTCGAATTGATAACCTCCGCCTTTGTTTTGAAGTCGGTTAAAAAAACTCACTTGATATTTGGTGTATCGGTGAATGTTACCATCGGCGTATACTATGCAGCAGTGCTGCGAAGGCACTAGAGCGGCCGGCAAAACTTTACGTCTGTAAAATAAATTTTCCTTGACATTGTGTGTAAATATTTAAAGATGCGTTGTTGATAAGGATGTAGGAGCCTCAACCCACTGACGTTACATATTAAAATCTCTAGGTTCAAATTCAGTTTTTGATGTGAGCGAGGTGATTGAAGCAATAACATTTTTTGTCTCGAATACCCCGAAGGCACCTTCAAATTAGATGCTTACAAATGCGCTGCAGTAGCGCGTCTGTGGCGCAGCAAACCTGCCACTATTAATTTTCATACAATATTTGGAAGCGCAGTCGCACCGAGACGCAAGACACGCCACAGTGCCGCTACTTCTATAAGCGTCTAATTTGAAGGTTGGCTTGGCAAGGCTGCCAACAGATGGACTGCATGTCTGCAGTTAATGCGTACAGTTGAGACTTCAACTTCAACTTCAACTTCAGTTGAGTATTCAACTGCAAGCGTCGGCTGCAGTTGAACACTCAACTGCACATTGGCAGTTGAAATTTTATTTTTTGTATCTGAAACAATTTGATCTTTAGTAGTAACGGCAAAAGGTAACGATTACTTGAGAGTTTAAACGATTGGTGAAAGTAGCACATTAAAACATTTTTTTTTTGTAATGGCACCTTTGTTTACTTTCTTGATCGCAAATTGCATCACAGAATATATTCGAGGATTACGAACGTCTTGACAAATTAAAATTGAGGATTTCTATAGTGATATGATAATTTTAAAAGAAAGTTAGCGTGTGGAATCATTAATGTTCTGAATACAGTGTTAAATTCCAAGTAACTCTTCCCGTTTCGACGTCAACAAATACAGAGCTCCTGAAATAGGCGCGCGGCAGTAAATGCTTGAAATTAGAGTCGACTGCGAGTAGTTATATGTCTATATCGAATTTGTGCAAGCAGTCCGTCTATTGGCGGCCTAATTAATAAGTATAAATAGTTATATAATTCATGACAAACAAATCCAGTGTTAAGTACCGATGTGTTGTGCGCGCGACCCAGACGGTCTCGCCACATTGAACGCCTGCGCTCACTGCCCCACTGGGTACGGCACCGCACGCGCTCACCACCCACACGGGGCCCGTCTGCTTCCACTCTGGCAGCCACTCTGGAATAAGACAACACGCACGCTTAAGCATTTCACACCACAATTTAGTGCCTTTACCACAAGTTTCCAATGACTCAGCGTCAATATTGTATATATACAAAATATTACTTGTGACCGCTAGGTGCGCTGTAAAATTGCCATATAAAATTGAAGCATTGCAAGGGCGCATCGAGTATATAACCAGAAATAGAGACGAAATAAGGGCTATATATTCCTGGTAACACATTAGCGATACAGCTCTTATAAATATCAACTCTTGTTTGCACTGAAATATAGACAGGCCTAAACACAGGGCTGAAATACATACTACTGACCTGTGTGTACGTCTCCGTATATTCCAAAAAATATTCTGTAATTATTGTAATAAAGATAATATATCTAAGAATGCCGTGCTGTTCTATTCGGTGGTGTGGGAAAAACAGTAAAACATCTAATTACAAAACAAACGGAATCACATTTCATCGGTAATTGGTAAATATGTTGAGTGTGTGCGTTATTTTTATTTATTTATAATTAAATATTAAATATGTAATTTTGCAATTTTCGTCCATTACAGCAAAGCTCAAGTTAACTGGTGGATTTGAAGTGAAACAGTTGACGACACCCATTGACGACACCCGTCAATTGTTTCGAACTCGGGCTAGCCAATCGGAGCGCAGTTGTCATGGTAATGATATGACAGAATAGTTTTCAAAGAAACTAAATGACATTTCGTCTCTATTTCTGGTTATATACTCGATGCAAGGGCGTAACACGTAAAAGTGAGATTCGAGAAAATTTAATATAAAGTCTGAATGTCTTATATCTTTTTAATATTTATAATATGACTCTTATATACATACGTTATTATTTATTTGTCCTATGATTTAGCTAAAAGATGCAGGTGTTATTCAAAGTCAATGGGTGTTATTATTATTTTAAAACAATTGTTTTATTTATTTTTTCATTAATTTGAAAACATTTTTTTGTTCCCCGTGTTATCCGCCCTTGTTGCACCCAACCGGTAAATTAATGAGTCGTTCGTTTTATTATTGGTTTAGGAAATAAATCGTAAATCAATCTTATTTAAAAGTTACATTGAAAAAAAAAAACATATATTAATCATTCACGGAATTCGCTGGACTGAAATGAATCGACAGTATCATCTACAGCAGCCTCCGTAGTATGGCTACGCATGTTAGTTCCGACACACGCGATAAAATTGGAATAAGCGCGCGCTGTTGGTTGTCTCAATCAGGTCTAATTTAGATAGCCAATAACGCGCGCTTATTTAATTTAATTTTATCGCGCGCGTAGCTATGCGTAGTCATGCGTAGCCATGCTACGGGTCTCACTGGCCTTCTAGAAGCTCCATGTTGAGGGTGAATTTGCTCGTTCCAGACATTTTTGTATATTAAAATAAGTTTTTACAAACTGCAGATTGTACCGTGTCCGAAATTCAAACGCACATTTATAATCTTTGCCACAAGGGCGGAGCGCCTTCTAAATGAATGAAAATTACGCCATCTAGAAGGGAGATCGAAATGAGTTTTTGTCACAAGATACTATATATCGTTGTACATGTTTTGATGTAATAACATCAAAACGGGCTTTGGGTGCCTAACCCTTACTGCTAAGCCTTTGTTCTTCCCAATGCTTCAATTGTCAAACATTTTACAAAGTAGCTAGCGACAACTGTTACTGTAATCATGGTAGAGGTACAAAGTAATGTATGTACTAATAAAAAATACATCGTCTTAAAACAGACTTCTCTGCCAGTAATTCTTTAATACACTTTTAATAGTTTGTTATATCTTCTCTATTATATACCAGTTAATAATATAAATAAACACCTTTTGATGATCAAGGCCAAAATACCAATCGACCGCCAAAGTGACAGAAAACTTGTACAATGAACTTACCTGGAACACCGAGCTTATATTCTTGTTCCCAGTACTGCTTTAAATACGCGTTATACTTCTTCCAATCCTCAGCCAGCTCTAGTATCTTCCCTCGGAAATATCTCCAACGTCTATTGAGATATTATTAATTTATGTGTTGCGTAGGGTACGATGCGTCTTATGCTTCGCGAATTATTATGCGACTGAAGGCTTTTTCGATTTAGATAAATTCCTAGTGATTTGTAACAAAACTAAATGTTGCATTGACCTACCTATTTATTGATTATACTATAATTTAGCAGAATCTTGCAGATTTCAAGTAGTGGATATTAATTGTCGATCAATTTTACTATGGATGCCGATGGTAAACAATTTATATACACTACTCACAAGTATCCAGGGTCAAGCACGTTTTTGCCAATAACTGAAAATCGTTTTTTTAAATTATTATCTATACTTTCATATAATTAGGGTAATGAAATATTTAAAAAAATACCTCGATTCCTAGACACTTTACGCGCGTAGTTAAATTGAATAATATTTAAACTGAATAATATATAAATCATCATATCAGGTAGGTACCATAAAAGAGCTTTGTAACAAGTCGGATGGTGTCGGTTGCTATAAATTAGGTTATGGATGGACGTTATTGAATTTATAAGGAGCGCTTAAAATTGGGCTTCTTCAAAATAAAGTTTTATCTTATCGTTTTTTACTGCTAAAGAAGATATCTCTAACTCTGAGAGATTTTTTTTAATTTAAATTGCAACAGTATTAATAGTAACTAAGAGCGCCTTCAAATTAGACGCTTAAAGAATCGTTGCAGTGCACTATTAATTTAATTTTCATACAATAGGTACCTAGAAGCGCTGTCGTGTTACGCGCACGCCACTTGCACCTGAAGGGCTACCATCTATAAGCTTCTAATTTGAAGACGCCCTTAGCGTTACACTTACAACTCATTGTCACTCGTATCGTCTTCACGAGTTGTAAAACATGCATTATTAGTTTCTTTCAACTGGAACATAAAAAATATTAACATCAAAACTGCGGATTTAGTGATGCCCTACTCCAAATCATCTCCATCTTCGTTTGTCACTGTCATGTTATTAAATTTATTATTACTCACAATAATAATTAACCAGCAGGTCCATCTGTTGAACATATCGATAACAGTCAGCATTTCGTTCTTACAGTTGTCATACGTCTTAGTTCTAAAAGTGCCACGTGTCGGGGATACAATCTAAAAGATATAAGTAATATATAAGCTCTATCCTAATAAAAACGACCCCGAAAGTACACAGCAGACAAGTTACATCTGTAATAAATTTAAT